AATCTTAAGGTAGTTTTAATTTGCATTTCCATAATTACTAAGAGTGTTGAACACCTTTTAAGATGTGTCTTAGCTAGCTGTATTTATTCCTTTGAGAATTCTGTTTAGATCTTTAGTCCATCTTTTAATTGGGTCATTTGTTTTCATGAGTTTCTCCCACTCTCTGGGTTTTCTCTTCACTTGGTTTCTTTTTCTGTACAGAAGCTTTTTAGTTTAATGAGGTCACACTTGTTGATTGCTGACCTTAATTCCTGAGCAACTGGTGTCCAATTTAGAAAGTATTTTCCTACTCCTGTATATTGTAGGTTACTTCCAGTGTTTTCTTCTAATAGTTTCAGGGTTTCCAGTTTCACGCTGAGGTCTTTGTTCCATTTGGAGTTGACTTTTGTTCAAGGTGGAAAGATAAGGATCTAGTTTCATTCTTCTACAGATGGAGATCCAGTTCTGCCAGCACCATTTGTTGAAGATGCTGTTTTTCCTCCTCCATTGTGTGTTCTTGGCACCTTTGTCAACTATCAGGTGGCTGAAATTGTGTGTACTCAAGTTTGTGTTTTCAGTTATGTTCCATTGATCTATGTGTCTATTTTTGTGCCAGTATCATGCTGTTTTTATGACTATAACTCTGTAGTATAGAGATCTGGTATTATAATCCCCCCAGCATTGCTCTCTGTGCTCAGGGTTGCTTTGGCTATCCGAGGTCTTTTGTGCTTTCATATGAATTTAAGAGTGTTGTTTTCTAATTCTGTGATGTATATCACGGGGATTTCAATTGGAATTGCATTGACTATATATTGCTTTTGTTAGGATGGTCATTTTCATAATATTAATTCTAATCCATGAGCATGGGAGGTCCTTCCATCTTCTGATGTCTTCCTCAATTTCTTTCTTTAAAGATTTAAAATTTTTGTTGTAGAGATCTTTGATGTCTTTGTTCAGGTTTATTCCAAGATATTTTTTTGAGGCTATTGTGAATGAGAGGGTTTCCCTGTACTTTTTAACTGCTTGCTTGTTATTAGTATATAGAAATGCTACTGATTTTTGTAGATTAATTTTGTACCTACCACTTTATTGAAAGTGTTGATCAGTTCTAGGAGTTTTCTGGTAGAATTTTTGGGATCTCTTAGGTATAGTATCATATCGTCTGCAAAAAGGGATAATTTAACCTCTTCTTTTCCAATTAGTACTCCTTAATTTCCTTCTCTTGTCTTACTGCTCTAGCAAGAGATTCAACCACTGTATTGAAAAGGAGTGGAGACAGTGGACAGCCTTGTCTGGTTCCTGGTTTTAATGGGAATGCTTCCAGTTTTTTGCCATTTAGAATCATGTTGGCTGTGTGTTTGTTTACAGCTTTTTTTTTTTTTTGGCCTTTTTGAGACAGGGTGTCCCAGTAGCCCCAGCTGGCCCAGAATTCACTATGTAGATCAGGCTGGCCTCGAACTCACCAAGATTTGCCTGCCTGTGCCTCTCAAGTGCTGGGATTAAAGGTGTGCACTACCACACCTGGCTTTGTTGTATACAGGTTTAATTATGTTGAGGTATAGTCCCTCTGGTCCAATTCCCTTTAGAACTTTTATCATGAATACATGTTGAATTTTGTTGAAAGCCTTTCCTGTATCTATTGAGATGACCATGTGGTTTTTGTGTTTGAGTCCATTTATATGATTTATAACATTTATTGAACTATCCCTGTATCTCTGGAATACAGCTTACTTGATCATGTCAAGTGATCTTTTTGATGCACATCTGTGTGTGGTTTGCACATATTTTGTTGAGAATTTTTGCATCTATGTTCATTAAGGATATGGGTCTATAGTTTTCATTTTTGGTTGTGTCTTTACCTTGTTTTGGTACTAGAGTGATGCTGGCTTCATAGAAGGAATTTGAGAATCCTCCCTTTGTTTTTATCTTTTTGAATAATTTAAGTAGTATTGGTTAGAAGTCTTTATGTGTCTGATAGAATCCTGCAGTAAATCCATCTGGGCCTGGGGTTTTTTTAGTCAGGAGGTTTTGTATTACTGTTTCAATTTCCTTACATGTTAGGGGTCTGTTTAAACTGTTGATTTCTTCTTGGTTTAACTTTGGTGGTTTCCATGATTTTAGATATCTATCCTGGAATTAAACGAAAAGGACAGTACAACACAACAAGTACCTCTGGGACACTTTAAAAGCAGTCCTAATAGGGAAGTTGATAGCTCTAAGTGCCTACATTAAAAAATCAGAAAGAGCCCAAATAAATGACTTAACATTGCAACTCAAGACTCCGGAAAGGCAAGAACAAATGAAACCCAAACCCAGAAGTTGAGAAGAAATAACAAAAATCAGAGCAGAGATTAATGAAATATAATCAAAGAAAACTATGAGAATCAATGAATCTTAAGAGCTAGTTCTTTGAAAAGCTAAACAAGATAGATTCTTCAGGGTCTTAAAGTTTTCATGGTAGAGGTTTTCCACCTCCTTTGTTAGGTTTATTCCTAGTTAGTTTTAGTTTTTGAAACTAAAGGGAATGGATTTTTTTTTTTTAACCTCGATTTTTTTAAACTTCCATTTTTTTTCTTGATCAGCTTGTTAGGGATATTTTTAAAAGTCACTTGTTTTGTATGCTGATTTTTGTATGTGTAGTGTGCATGCCTTTGTGGGGGGGGCACAAGTATATGTCAAGTAGATGCATTTCTGTGCATGCATATGTGTGTAGGCCCAAAGGCGACATTGTCTTCCTCGGTTCCTCCCCATTTTACTTATTGAGGTGAGTATAGTCATAGTTAATTTGATTAATGCTAGTATTTGCATGAAAAAATTTCAAAATTGCTAACCCACATTCCTATGGAAATGAAATTTGACTCTATCTTTACATAATACAGCCAAGATGTGGTTCTTGAAAGTTGCTCAGATTAGATTTTCTCTTTCCTACCCTGTGCATTGTGATTATTATTTTGTAGTAAATAATAGTAAATTATTAGTTTATATTTTATGTTCCCCATATCATGATTGAGCTCACCTATGACTTTTCATTTTGAATTTAAAAAATATTTTATTTAAGCCAGGTGTGGTGGTGCACACCTTTAAATCCCAGAGCTCGGGAGGCAGAGGCAGGCGGATCTCTGTGAGTTCAAGGCCAGCCTGGCCTACATAGTGAGTTCCAGGCCAGCTGGGGCTACAGGGAGACACTGTCAAAAAAAGAAAGAAGTGTCCATTGTTGCTGCAAATATCAGTGCTCTGTTCTTATATTATGAAGAGCTCTTCCCTTATATGGCTATACTACAGTGTATTACCCATTTTGTCTATGGATATTTGACCTGTAACCAGTTAATACACAACATGTATTGGTTTTCCTGTGGATCTATGCTTTCATTTATCTTTCATTTATTTTGGATAAATACCTAGGAGTCCAACTTCTGAATAATACTGCCAACGTTAAGAAGCTGCCAAATTGCTTCCCAGAGTGGCTGACCATTTTTCATTTACATCAGTAGTATGTGAGATTTCCAGTTCTTCCATGCCCTCTTCTGCACTTATGTGACCAGTCAAGTAGATGTGTGGTGATATCTCACTGTGGGTTAAATATGCATTTGCCAAATGACCAGTGATGCTTTCATGTATTTGTAATCCATGTAGTTTTCTGTTATGAAACATTAAGATATCTTGCCTGTTTGCTCACTGGGTAGGTTTTTTTTTTTTAATTTTGGGAGTCCTTTTATGTACGTGTGGATGCATGTCTGTGTACATGTTCATATGTACACATGCATGTGGAGGCCAGAGGCCAAGCTTGGATGCCAGCCTCAGAAATGCTGTCCACATCCTTTGAGACAGGGTCTCTCATTGGCCTGGAGTTCACTGATTAGGCTACACTGACTGGCCAGCTCTAAGGGCCCTCTTCCTTCTACCTCCCCATATGTGGCATTACAAGTGCATTCCACCTGGACTGGAGAGATGACTCAGCAGTTAAGTGTATGTACTGCTCTTACACAGGACCTGAATTCAATTCCAAGCACCCACATTAGGAGGTTCAACAACTGCCTGTACTCCATTTTAGGGGGGACCTGATGCCCTCTTCTGGCCTCTTTGAGCACTGCACTCATATGCAGAAACTCACTCTAAGACATACACATAATTTAAAAAATTAATTTTTAAAATTTACTTTTTTACTTTATATATACGAGTGTTTTGCCTGCATGTATGTAAACATACCTCATGGGTATAGTAACTGCAGAGGGCAAAAGAGGGTGTCAGATTCCCTGGAACTAGACTTAACAGACACTTGTTAGCTGCCATGTTAGCTACCTTGTGGGTGCTGGGAACCAAACCTGGGTCCTCTGCAAGAGCATCCAGTACTCTTAACCTCTGAGCCATCTCTCCAACCCCAAAACTGAAAAATTTAAGAACTTTCTTTTTTTTTTAAAAAAAAAAAAAAAGTGCATGCACCATTCCCAGCATGTTTATGTGGGTTCTGGGGATTGAACTCAGGTCTTCATATTTGTGACACAAGAACTTTACCAACTGTATTATCTCCCCAGCCCCAAGTTCTTTAGTTTGGACATATGTCTATCCAGAGTTAATTCTAAAATATTTTGGACCATCTCTCTGTTGTGATCTCTGTGTCTTTGCCTTTCAGGTGCTAGGATTACAGGCATGTGCTACAATGCCTGACTTGGAGCTTTATGTTTTGATAAGACCCAGTTTATCAGTTTCTCATGGTTAGTGACCTCCCATCAGTGCTCTGCCTGGGCAGGTTTTGTTAGTGCTCTCCTCTTCCAAGATGTGTATGTATTTCATGTAGCTTGATGTGCTATTTTCTCATGAGGAGAGTTGATGAGAAGCATTTATTACTTTATTGTTAGCACAGCAGGAGCCAAGAGATGTTTCTATCAAATTATGCTCCATAAAATAATTTTTCTAAAGACTGAAATTGGAAGCTGAGTTTGGGATTACTGACTTTCTATTCACTTGACTACACTCATTTTACTATTCATGAAATGTTTAAATTTTATATGTTTAAATTTTAGGTTTGTGTTAATGATGAGCTGGTTGCAAAGAACTTTGCTTACTATGTGTCACCCACGGAGAATAAAAACCTCAATATTTTGGAGAAACCAAGTTTCGGTCTAAAGTCAGCACCCCTGTCCAGTAAACTCAACCCATCGCTTACTCTGTGGCCAATGCTTTTGCAAGGGAAAGATTGTCACGGAATGAAAAGTGAGTGTGTCCTCACCAAAATGTATTTCCTTTACATTGTTGTGTTTCTCATCATAGCATATTAAGTTCTTGTCCAAGCTTTCCCCTACTTGGGGACAGACTTGGACTCTGTGTTTAATAATTAAAGTTTACTTCTGATGAGCCTGTGACAGATTGTGTGATCTAAAGCTGCTACAGTTTCTATGAAACCAGGAAAAAAATGTAGGAAGTTCCTATTAACATTGAGGTTCATTTTCAAAAGTATA